ACATGAATGACAATCTATGTTATGTGATATTATGCCTATACCCCAGTTCTATATGCATAAATAAATAAAAAAAAAAAAAAAAAAAAAGAACCTGTCAACTGAAATCACAGATTCCCAAGAAGCCCAAAACATCTCATTTCTCCCTTTATGTTCCACCTGCCCAGTACACTAAGTAAACCAGGACCATAACACCAAGCAGGCAGAATTCAAACAAACCCAGAATTTCATCAATCCCCCCCAAGAAATCCAACAATAAGCCAACCGTATCAAGGTGGTTTCTCCTCCCCTATGGAAGACACTCCCCACCTACCCCAAGTTCTTCACATCAGCTGAACTCTGTGGCACTTACCAATCTCACTGATGAAAGCCTGTACAACGTCGTCAGCACCCTGCGGACGTGGAGTAGGCAGGAATGCCAGTTTCCTTAGCCGGGCTGGGTGGACAGCAGGAAGCTTAGGGACAGTGCTCTGCCTTGGTGTGGGTGTGGAAACAGCCTTGGCAACAGGAGATTGGGGCTTCTCCCTGGGCCTTATCTCCTGGGTTTCAGGTTTTAGCCTCTCTGACTCAGACTCCTCAACAGTCACATTCTCAGCAGAGTGACATGGTGAAGGCTTGATCTGGGGACTTTGCAGTGGGGAGGACACCTTGTGTTTCAGATGGGGAGATGTGGTTTCTGGCTTGACCACCACCTTTGGGTGCTCGATCTGTGGAACACTTTGGCTAGCAGACTCAAGACTGAGGGGAGGCGCTACTAGCCCAGGAGGTATACTTTCAGAAGGGCTTGGTGCCATGCCGTTGGGTTCAGACTTGGGTGGAGAAATAGCCCCAACAGAAGTTACAGGCAAAGAAGGTGGAGGTGCAGTAGGCCAAAATGGAGGCTGCTGTGGCCCTGGGCCCCATCCTAAGGGTCCATAGGTACAGCTGGAACTGTAAGGTGGGACTGGGGCAAGAGGGGGTACCCAAGGCACATTGCAAGTGGGAGGCACAGCATATGTGCCAGGAGTACCAGACACGAGGGGCACTGCTGGTGGAGGGGGCAGGCAAGGATAGCCAGGAGACACAGAAGAATAACAAGGCCAAGGTGGCACAGGGGCATAGAGAGTATAGGGGTCAGGTGGCACTGGCCCCATAGACACTGGAAGACTAGAAGGCTGCAAGGGAGGTGGGGGCAGACTGGGAACTCCTTGTCCATTTGTGGTAAGGGGCGGCATAGGGGTCACGCCCACACCACCTGGCGTGAAAGGCAGAGCAGTGGACATTGGGTAGGACATGGACTGTACAGTAGGAGGTGGAAGTCTTGCTGGAAGTGGCATCTCTTGGGATGGCACCTGCTCACTGGGAGTTGAAGCCACAGATTTGCTTGCAGGTGGCTCAGAACTAGGAGAAGCAGGGCTGGGACCCAAAGGCATGCTGCAAGGTTCAGGAGTCGTCTCAGGACTTCTCTGCGGAGCTGTCTTCTTGGCTGGGGCTGGTGGGATAACAAGACATGGGATGTCTGCCAGTCCTTTGGGGGTCTCTGGGAGGCTGGGCCACTTCCCAGTTGGAGGATGGGAACTCTTCTCTTCTGCCTCTACTTGGCGCTGCTGCCTTCGCCGCCAATATTCAGACAGGCTAAGAGGTCGAGGTCTGGATTCCTGAATCGAGGCACTGCTACCACTTTCCACCTTCAGAGGACCCAACACCTCCTTGACTTCAGCCTTTGAGAGGTCTGCAGACTCTGACTTCAGAGCTGACATTGCACCACGTCTTGGATCGGTTGGCCTAGACTTCACTAACACAGGGTCAACTGGAGCTGGGTCATCAGGAACAGAGTCAACTGGTGTGGGGGTAGCTGGAATAGGGTCCACCGATGGCAAATCATCGGAGATGTGAACAGCTGCAGCATCTGCTGCTTCTGAGTCAACCAGGACTGGGTCTGTTGGGTGAGGGTCAACCAGCTTTGATTTGGCTGAAGCAAGGTCAACAACCAACAAAGGGTCAACAGCTATAGAGTCATCAAGAATAGGGTCAACCGCAATGGGATCAGCTTCAGCAGAATCAAGCGGCATGACGCTGGCACGAGAAGAGTCACCCAGTGAGTGATGTGCTGAAACAGACTTGACTTGGATGTTGTCAGCTAGGTTTGGATAGAGGTCTAGAGGACTTTCTTTAGCAGGACTAGCCTGTCTAGTACTGTTCTCCAAGTTCTCAGAGCCAGGCTCTTCCAAGGCAGCTGCCCAGGCTCGAGCCCATGCCCGGGGTTTTCCTCTACTGCGGGGAGGCCCAACCTCTCTTTGAGGTTCCTCCTGAGGCAAGTTGCTAGCCTGAGAGTTCACCTCTAAAGCAACTTTAGATTGTCCACGAGAGGATGACCTCAGCCTCCTGACATAGCCTTCTGCACAGTTCGCTGACTGCTCCTTGCTTTTCTTCCTCCTGCCCTTTCGAGCTCTCTGAGAATTCAGCACTGCATTATCTGGTGAGTTCTGAGGCCCTTTGGGCAGCCCTGGCTCCATGACCTCGCTGGGCGCCAACAAGCAAGCTGTATTCAACTTTCCTTCCGATTCCAGAGACAACCCATCTTTCCCAGGGCCTAGGGCTTCCCTGGGCACAGCAGCCTCTGTCTCTGACTCTAGTGTAGGCATGAGCAACTGCAAGGCTGGGCTGGTCGCTAGTGAGTCATCCAGGAGCACAGGCTGGGGTCCAGGAGGGATCTGTCTTACCACAACTGGGATCTCCAGATCATTGCCAGCTGTAGCTGCCTGGCCTACAATCTCTAGTACCACACAATCCTCAGGCAGCGTCAAATCATCTGGCTCTTCCTGAAGCTCATCCTGGAGTGATGTGAGGTTGGTGAGGTTGGGCAGGCAGTATGGGTGCATGGCCCGCACCAGCTCACTCAGGGAGGAGATGCTCTCATCCCCAGCTGCCTGCACTGCCATCTGTGCTGCTGTTTTATCTTCTTCCTCAGGGCAAGCCAGGTGCATGGGAAAGTCCAAAATGCTGCTCACAGAGCTGTCAAGCTCCCCAGCAAGCATCTGGCCACTGAAACTGGCCACCTCCTCTTCTTCTTCACCATCACTACGTTGCTGGGGAGGAGGGGACTTGCCCCAGCGGGGTCTAGATCTTGGTGGTCTCCAGCTAGGAAGCTTGGGGGAAGAGTTCTCCAAGAAGGAGGGTGAAGAGAAGTCCCAAGGGGGATCTGCAAGCGACATCTCAACCTGTAAGAGAGAAACCATGCAAGTTTTCTCAAGCAACCTATTTTTCAAACCTGTCCCCATATGCTCCAGTCTCCTAGAATTTCCTTAAGGCTCCCTAGGATAGACTTACTCCATTCATTCTACTACTGCCTGTGCCGGGCCCCAGTGAGTCAACAGGTGTTATAAGGTCGCGTTCTGGTGGTGTCCGGGAGAGGGTAAGCAGCTTGTGGAGCTAAAAGGGAGGAAAAAAACCTGAATTGAGTTTGTGCTTCAGAACTATATAAGTAGGCCCAAAGAAGTGATTCTAACTTTTGTAGCATCTGCACATTCCCTGCCCCTGATCCTATACTCACAGAGGTGCCCTCTCGAGGTGACACAAGCAGCTCTGAGTCAGGAATGCTGTCAAATGGAGACAGGTTCTCAGAATCTGCATTGTCCAAGATCTCCGTCAGAGCCGTGAGCAGCGACACTTCATTCTGGTCTTCCAAAGATAACATGCTCTGCTCCAGAAAGAACAGGAAGGGGTGACCAACATCCCTAATGACCTACTGGACAACTGAGAAGGACTGCATGCCAAGAGAAATCAGTCTCCCAAGCACAGATCAGCTCAACTGCCAGAGAGAGATTTGAGTAGCAGGAGGCATGAGTTACAATCTCGTTTGTTACCATACATCATCTGTCTGTCTGGTATCAATACTGAATTCTAAGTTTATGTTTAACAATCCACCACACTCAGGTAAGATGTGGGATACTTAGCAGAAGTCTTTAACTAGAATGGAATTGAGCTGAGGCATCAGACCCTCTGGACAGTACGTTAAGGATACCCTTACATGGGTTATAACTGGCAGCCTACACCTCAACTCTCAAGGCAAAAACAATACTTTCAGATCTCTGGTCAGGTACCCAGGAGTGTGGGATCTAAGAGAGTACTGCCACTGAGTCTGAGCCTCCCAAGCCTGAACACCTCTAAGTCCAGCCTCAGTTCACCTCTCCAAGGCTCCCAAAATCTTCAATGAGGGAGATGAGGGAGGCATCCATGTAGCTCTGCATTGTCTCCAGCAATGTCTCATCTTGCAAGATCAGCCCCTCTGTTTCCAAGTCCTTCTCTTTCAGACAGGGTCCCAGTCGAGACAGACTAACAAAGCCAGAATCATCTCCCTCTTCATGCAGCAGCACCTGCGGTAAAAGGGAAAAAGTTCAAAAGGGTACAGTGAAGGTGGTGGGGGATCAACCCTCTGGGGTAGCTGACTGATGCTTCCTAATCCAGGGCCAAGCCCTCACCAATGGGCCCAAACTTAGCAGGAGCCCCCTCATAACCAACCCTTTGCATGTCTTGAGTGCCTGGGCTTTCCATGAGCCAAAGCCCCAACTGGGATGGCAGTGTTCAAGCACTCTATCCAGAAACAACCACAGTCACAGGAAATTATTAAACTAGGGAGTAAAAAACGCAAACTGATCAAGACAGTTCAGAAGGCACGGTAAAGAGTCTAAGGGGCACAGCACAAAAAAGGAGGTCAGCAACAGCAAACAACTTCATGTACAACCACCTCAGCTCCCCCCAAATACTGCTCAGAGCTCTCCTCTCTTCTTGGCTCAACTCCTACTTCTCAAAGACACCCCAAGCTTCTCCAACCCATGTTACTCTCTTCTCACACCCTTTAATTATTTATGTTTCTATACCACCAGCTTTTCTGACTATGGTATCCTGCCCTTACCCACCATTTCCCATTCCTTGCATCATTACTAACACTGGACTCCAAGTTCTTTTGGGGCAAATAACCCTTTGTATCTATTAGCTTATATCCTTCTTGGTCTTGTAAGGATTTAAAAATACTTGAACTTCCTGGTTACTCATGATACCCAGCCCAGTGTCTTACTCAGTTGATATTCACTGTTTCACACTTTTATTTTAAGGCCTACAGTGTGCCATACAACCTCTCAATGGTGGTTCTCTTATCCCTACCAGGTGAGAGCAAAAGAGAAAGTTTGATTCTGTAGATGGAGAGGCAACACCCCACCACTCCCCTGAGAATTAGCAATGTCTTCAGCCTTGTCAGGCAGGGAGCCTCCAGTCCAGGCCTGTCAAAAGTGTGGGCGTGGGCAGGGCCAGAAGTGGCTGGAATGGGGCTGGTAGGGCCAGAGCCACAGCTATCTCTGCTCTAGGAGACAGAAGATGCAAAGGCCTGAGAACAGGAACAACAAGCAACTCCTCCCCTTCCCCCCTTCTGTAGCAAAGGGAAACTGTACCACTTCCAAGAGGGAAATAAAAAAGTAACAGGTGTGACTATGCACCCACACCCACCCTCCTAACCAAGTTGAGGAGTTCTGATGCCCACAGAGAAGAACCACAAGATAGGGATACTTTAGGGGACTCTAGGTCCACTGACAATGTGAAAGGTGGCAGGTTTTAGGCACTAACTCCTCCCAAGCCTTCACAATCCTATAATTACATCCAGCAGCTGCTGAATAGTACCTGGCTCAGCAAATCCTGGGTAATACGCAAGAGGACTGCATCTCAACATGCCTTCCACCTACCTGGCTCAACCACTGGACCAGAATCTCAAGACAATGCACAGCTCTAAAAACCACTCATCATCACCTCCATCAAGCAGGTACTTGAACCTCAGAGACTCCCTTCTCTTCACCTAACCTCACTTACCCTCAACCTCCAACAGCACAGCCCTAAGAGTACCAAGATCATGGAGGAGCTAAGAACAGGCTTAAAGTGATCTAGCCAGCACTTCTAACTTCAACCTCCTAAATGGATTTTTCCAGATCCAATCTTATCCCCGAGGATTAAAATCAGCTAAAATGTTTTTCTAAGACTTGTTTATGCATACAAAAACTGGGGTGTAGGCCAGAGGTATGGGGATAGGAGGTGGGAGACAGAGTGGGGAGCAGAACACAGGCAGATCTACTAAAATACACTGCTGAGAAGAGTAGCCGGCAAGACAGGTCTGCTGCGCCATATGGGTTAGCTCTCTGGCTGGGGATTGAACTCATGCCTCATGCCAGTTGCTAGTGATAGCTTGATAGCACTGACATCAAGGAGGTCTAGCTAAAACTTTTAAAAATACTTATCTGATCACTCTGGAGACCCTCCCTAAATTCCTTCAATAGCATTTTAGCATCAGGTTTAAATCCTGAACAGGCTTTACAGGAGTCCTGATCTTCCTCACCAGATTCTTCTGCTCATATGTATTCCCTTTCACCGCTCTCTGCCTGGCTCTCTACAGATTAGCCATACAATTAACCATACAGGTCTCTTCATTTCTCCAATAAACCATGTTCTCTCCCACTGAAAAGTTCTTACCCCCAGTACAATCTCATCTTAAAACTGTACTAATTTGCAGGATCTGTGAGGGAACTAACTTGATTATTACTACTGATTATAACCCCAAGTTCTTTTGTTCCATATTATTTATTATCTATCCTGATAAAAACATAAGGTACTATGTGTATAAGTTTTACCATAGTATCCCCTGTGCCTGAACATAATGGTATCTCAATCAGTAACCGTTGAGGGGCCTCCCTCATGGTGCAAAAGACTAAGCCACAGCACTATGAAATTATCCACAGCCTCTGCCACACCCCCGCCAGGAAAGTGACCCACATGGGGAGGAAGACCTCTCCAGTCTAACCCTCTGCCCCCCTCAGCAATATATTTCAGTAAATCTGCCTGTTTTGCTTCCCACTCTGTCTCTGGTTAATCTGCTCCCCATCCCCACCTCTGGCCTACACACCAGCTCTTCTATGCATAAAAAAATAATGCTCAAAAAAAAAAAAAAGCCAATGGTTGACTGACTAGCTACATACCCATCTTTTTGTGGGGAAGGGGAATATCTCCATGAGACCCAGTATAACCCCAAATGACCACCTAACTTGGTTTGGAGCTGGATCACACATCCTTCCTGCATCTCCCTCAAGATGAGTTGAAAGAAAAGGGAAGAAGGGGTAGGCAGTTCCCAAGTACCAGGTGCCACTCCCTCCTGGTAAGGGCCTACAAGCTTGGATTGGTCTGTTGGAACTCACATTACTTAGCAGGTGGGCAGCCCACCAACTCCCACCGGGAGGCTGTCTTCACTCCACACCACCACCACCAAAATACTTTCAAGGTTATTTGCTTAAGACAGCTAACAGTTCAAACTATGCCCTGCCCATGTCCATTCTGGGTGCAAACTTTTAAGACTCAGACATACATTTTGTAAATATGGAGAACTGAAGGCCAAAAAAGTATCTGATAGAACTCACTCCAAGCCAATAAATGTTCCATTAGTCTAGAATAGTTCTCAAATCGCCTCCAACTTTTCCAATCCCCAACGAAAATTCCAGAGAGCCTCAAACAAGGACCATCTCAGGCAACAGTGAGGGAAGGGAAGATTCCCTTTTCCTTAATTAAACTTGTCCCGTGTATACGTTGACACTCTCCATGCCCCTTGAATCACAAATGAGGCAGGACTGCAGGCAACCAAAATGCCAGTGCCGGTGACTCACAACCCACCCCAAGCCGGTCAGACAGAAGCCACCACAGCGCTTCAGCCTCAGTCCTCTACCCTTTCCAAAAGATTCTCCGCACATCTGGAATGTCCTTCACCCTCTGCTATCGAGAGGCTTTGCGGACCAAACCAGGAGGAAAAAAACCTCGAAGACTCTGGGCAAAGTTGACTCCAGCAGCCCCTACCTTCCGTACTGGCCAGGGAACAGCAGCCCAGGCCGGAGATGGCGGGACCGGTCGGGACACACCCAGTTCCCGGCAGTGCGGCTCCAGCGCCCGCACGAGATGCCGGACAGCCTGGGGCGGGAGCCACGTGGACATACCCTCCCCGCCCCCACGTGGACCGGCGGCCCTCGCCCCCCCACCCAGCCCAACCCACGTGGGTGCCGGGGCCGCCTTGAGGGGGAGGGGAAGCCGACAAGTTCTCCCGGGAAAATCTCTCCCCTCACCCCACGTGGCTCCGAGGAAGCACTGCAGCACCGGGTTAGGGGTACCCTGCCTCTAATTCTTAGAGGGGGGTCTTCGACCCTCGACTCCAAGCCCGAATCCCGGACTCCTCTACGGCGGGCCATATTTCCGACACCCAGCTCTGCCCCTCCGGCGTTACCGAGGAACAGCTAGAGAGACTCGCCTCTGTCCAGCTCCCCCTTAAGCAAACGGCCCAAACCTAATGGCCCAACCCGTCTCCCGCTGCCAGCCGGCATCAATTCCCGAGCGCTTCCTCCCTTTGCTGTGGCGTCCACGTGTCACCGCCCGGCACACGCCGCTTTGCTGCCAGCTGCGGGCCGCCAGCCAGCCTCTCACCTGCTCCCCACCGCTCACAGCGCCAACAGTCCCATGCTGCGCTTGGCTCCGACTTCCCCTACCGCTGCCGCGGACGCCACCGCCAGGGTCGGGGCAGGGACCCCCACTCGGTGGCGGCTTGACTCCGTCTCTCCGTCCCCGGCGCGCCGCCATCTTGGCCCCTGAACACCCAGCGCAGCTCTGGTCGCTGGCGCCGCCTCGCCCAGCCGATTGTGGGAGCGTAACTACAATTCCCGAAAGACATTGCAAAACTACGGATCATAGGAGGCCAAGCGACGAGACCTGTTCGCACCCGGAAAGCGCGCCCTTGCCTCGCAAGGTAGTCTGGGAGTAGTAGTTCCTTTAAGCATAGAGGCACACAGTTTAGGCAAACTGTAACGCTTAGTTTGGCGTAGCAGGGGGGCACTTAGCTGGGGAGCGCTAAGTAGTAAGGCTTACATCTTTTATTTTCCCAATCTGTTCAAGTGTCAGAACACCCTTTTTGTATGAAGTTCTACCTGCGATATATTTCTTTCACTTTATCCAAGTAGGCCTGTGCTTCGAAACAGCACACCCTAGTGGCAGTCGCACTCCAGGAGCTAACCCTCACCTAATCTCACACACACTGCAGCACTATTTCGAGTTTAATTTTAAAACAAAGCATTCTCCCAGTCTTACCCCATGTTGGTTTTTCATTACCCAACGTTTTACTTGCTGTGCCAGATCACCTTGTTGTCCCCCCAAAAACAACCTGTTTGTTTTTCAGCCTGGATACAACTTGCATGTCATATTTTATCCCAAAAAGCCCTTTTACTCATCCGGGCAAATTGTAATCTTTCTTTATTTCGACAGTCCGTCACTATAGTCCCTACTAATTTTTTCATTTGCCATTCAAACGCTACTTCATATTTTCCTATTAAAACAGTTGTTAGGGCCCTCCCTGGTGGTGCAACAGGTTAGGACTACACAGCACAGCAAGCTGACGCGCTTCAGTGCAAGGTGACCCACATGGATTGGCAGACCTCTCCTGACCCGCCTGCTGCTCCCTTCAGCACTGTACTTAGTCGATTTGCCTGTTCTGCTCCCCACTCTGACTCTGGTGAAGTCTCTCACCGCCTCTGGCCTGTACCCCAGTTCTGTATGCATAAATAAATAAATCTTAAAAAAAAATTGTTAACAGGTACCTCTCTGCTGGCAACACTGGTTAAAGTACAGCACTATAAAGCTGTCCACAGCCACTGCAGCATGAGTTCGATTCCCAGCCTGGGGGCCAGGGAGGTGACCTACATGGAGAGACCAACCTTTTCTGTCCAGCCCTCTGCTGCTGCTCCCCTCAGCAGGGTATTTCAGTAGAGCCGCCTGATCTGCTGAATACACACACACACACCACCTCTGGCCTTGTATACATAAATAAATAAACCTAAAAAAAAAAACAATTATTACAAAAATTTAAAAATTAGTTCAAATATTACAAAACTCTATAAAGTAAAAATACACTTAGACTGCAAGTTCTACTTCTATTCCCCAGATTTAATCCTTGTCACCTTTGGTGTGTATTCCACCATACTTTTACTATACACATAAAAATGTATAGGGGGCCTCTCCTTGGTGCTTTAAGGAATTAAAAGCACAGCACTATGAAGCTGTGGCAGCCACTACAGCACCAGTTCCATCCCTGGCTAGGGAGCTGACCCACATGACATGGCAGACCTCTCCTGATCTGCCCGCTGCTCCCCTCAGCAATGTATGTCTCTGGTGAATTTTCTCACCCCCCCCCCAACACACCTCTGATCTGTACCTGAGTTCTGTATGCATAAATAAATACATTTTTTTAAAAAACGTATAGGGTCACACATCTCTTTTTTAAAAAATAGTACCATTCCCTGTGTATGGTTCTACAACTTGCTTTTTTTCATGTAACAACGTTAGTTCATTCATTAACCAAATTTTACTGAGACTAGTGAATGCCAATTCTGTAATATAAAATATGTCATTAGTATTTATGTTATTGCCATATTACAAATTAAGTTAGAGTGAACTTTTTTGTGCAAGTGTACATCTATCTCTGCACTTTGAGCAAATTTCCTATGGAATAGTTTCCTTGAAATGAGATTGCTGAGTGAAAGGATATATACATTTGAAATTTCAGTGGATAATACCAAATTGACCATTGGGAAGGTCACATGAGGTGCATTCTGAATTAAAAGATTGGAAAGAAAATCTCAGCACCAAAGGTCCCCAAACATTGGGTACCTTAAATGAAATATCCTAGCCTGACTCCATGCTCACCAAAGACACCTCTGATTATAACTGACTTTCCATATCCTCCCATTTACTGGAAGTGCTGAAAAAGTGAGACAAAATATATAGTTCACTTGACATATATTTCTCACTGTGAATTAAAAAGTCAGCATCCTGACTTATTTATTAAGTACCTACTACATGCCAGGCATTGTTTTTGACACTGACAAAACACAGTGACAAAACACACCAACAAAAAAAATCAAAAATAAAAAAATCTCCCTAGTGGAACTCACATTCTAGTGGAGAGACAATCTCCATGTAAACAAAAAGTCAAAATAATTTCAGCTCTCCCTGGTGGGGCCAGGGGTTAAGTCACAGCATTATGAAACTATCCACAGCCACTGTGGCACAAGTTTGATCCCCGGCCAGGTTACTGACCCACATATGGTGCAGCAGACCTCTCCTGTCTCACTCGCTGCTTCCCCTCAGCAGTGTTTTTCAGTAGATCCTCCTGTTCCATTCTCCACTCTGTATCCCCTCCCCTACACCTTTGGTCTATATGCCAGTATACATAAATAAGTAAAAAATAAATATTAAAAATAAATAATACTGGGGCTACCATTGTATGGGCCATGGGGCCTAAGGGTTAAGTTTTAGTACTATTACATCTATTGTAACAGGATGGTCCCCAGGAAAAGGGTAGGTTCCAGGTTCCCTGCCCCACCCAAAGGAGGGTGGAGCTGAACTGGGAGGAGAAGAAAGTGAGAAGACAGAAGGAAGCAGGATGGAGAGCCAAAAGGAGATCTGAGGGAGGCACATGGAGCAGAGAGACATGTGAAGAAGCAGCTCTTGTTTCTTGGTCCTGGACTGGGTGAAACAGACATGAGTGAGAGACCCATGGAGAGGTTAATAATAGCAGCTTTTATCTTTATTTTGATTTTGCTCTTTTCCCAGACTTGTCTGGCAGTTTCTGATCCTTTTCATTGGTCTTTGCTGAAAGGTGCTTTGGACTAGTGGTAGGCTTTTGGGTCTTGCTTTGGGCCAATCTTGTTTGGCTGGACTTTTACCACAGAGGAGATGGGTAATTTGGGGTGTTTGACTTAGAAATCATATTCTTTGTCTTTTCTATATTGCACACTAATTGTATTAAAGTTCCTTTCCCATTAAAAGTCTTATGTATTTTGTCTTGATGTGGCAGATGGCAGAACTTATTTGGAGCAGGCAGGTTAGGAGGTTCTCGGGTGCCCTCTCCCTGCCCTGCAACACTATGGCCTGAGTTCATTCCCAGCCAGGGAGCTAACCTGAATATGATATAGCAGCCAACTCCGTCTCACCTGCTGCTCCCCTCAACAGTGTATTTCAGTAAATCTGACAGCTCTGCCTTCTACTCTGTCTCTGGTGAATCCTCTCTTTTACACACACACACACACACACACACACACACCCCTCTGGCTTATTCCCCAGTTCTTCTACACACAAATAAATAAATAAAACTGGAATGCCACTGAATTTTTCACTTTAAAATGGTTAATATAGGACCCCCGTGCTGGCCCAGGTGTTGAGTCACATGCTTCTCACTCTGTCTCTGATGAATTCTCTCAACCCACACCTCTGGCCTACACCCCAATTTATCTACCAAACCTCAAAAAGAAAAAAAAAAGACCTATAGTTCTGAGAGTTTGTATTCACCTGCGCAAATCAGATCAGCCTGCCATTGGACACAGTCATTAAGGACCTTTGCAGTAACTCCCAGCTTCCCTGCCCTATCCCCTGTTTCCTGCCAGGCATCTGTGACTTCTCTGCCTGCAAAACAATTCCCAGAGCTGTTCTTGAGATGATCTCTTCTTCCCTGGGTCTGGTCTATTTTAGAATGCAGGAGAAAATAAAAAAAGAAGGCAGGAGAAAGAGCACTGTATCAATACTTGTTAACTCTGTAAATTTGGGGCAAATTACTTCATCTCCCCAAGCCTGGTTCCTCAAGGAGCCAAACCTACTTACCTTAATTATCCATTCAACAGTATGTGGGAGCCTCCCTGGTAGCACAGGGGTTAAAGACAGTGCTATTAAGCTATGGCCAGCCACTGAGACATGAGTTCAATCCCCATCCAGGGCGCAGCAGACCCCTCAGCAGTGTACTTCAGTCAATCCACCTATTCTGCTCCCCACTCTGTCTCTGGTGAATCCTTTCAACCCGCTCCCCTCCAACACAACACCTCAGGCCTATACCTCAGTTCTTGTATGCATAAATAAAATCTTTAAAAAAGAAAAAAAAAACACAGTATTGTAATGGTAATTCCTAAAGGCAACTTGGGTACTAGATCTGCTTGGTGGGAGTGAGAGGAAGAACTTCCCCAAGGAGGTGACCTGAGGTATGAAGAAGAAAAATAACTAGGCATTTTAGGATAAGAAGAGGGAGAAGTATTTATTACAAATGAGTTCAAATTTATTAACTTCCCTGAATCTCAGTTTTCTTGCTTTCTCATTAAATAGCATCTTCTTCCAAAGGTCCTCAGGAAAAGCCTACACACCTAGCACCAGTATCTGGCCTATAGTGTAGCTGGACAAGTGCTCATTTTCCTTTGGGTCTTGTTTCCACTTTGCATTTCTTATCTCCACCTCGCATTTCAAATGTAATGTAGGAAGGGAACCTCAGATTCAGAGCCAGCAAAGGCCCCTCTAGGATGGGTAGTAATCATCCCTTTGTCCACCCAGGTCACCAGGGAATCTGACCAAACTAGTTGTTTGGAATGAGTGGCCCTAGGGGTGAGTAGTCACAGGATTGGGAGAAGCTAGATTCATGGACATTAGAGTGAAAGGGGTCAAGACAGGTATTCCCTCTCCTTTCTGCTGCAGTTAATCCTCCAGTCAATCCAGCCCCTGTTGACATTCTTGAGAGCTTGTTTGGAGGTTCTAGCAAGGGAACGCAGCTACTCATATGCAGCTACTCATATACCCTCCACCAAACACCTGCGTCCCTATTCAGGGAAGGCCTTCCCTTCCACGGAGTGCAGTGAGGGAGGAAGGGAACAGGGACACCAGCCTAGTCAGCCAGATCAGCGGAATCAACCCTGGTGATCACTGGGGTGACAGATGTCACAGTCAGATCGCCCTCATATCCCTGACACTCTTGAAATAACAGATCTCCTCAAAGAAAGGGGCTAATGCATAATCAGTAACTATGGTGGCACTGGGTCAGGTAACCCAGCATGTCCAGTCTCCTCTGAGATCTGCACCGAAATGCAGGTACCAGTTACAGAGGGTAAAGCTCAAGCTAATAAGGGGAAGTGGGTGGTCTCAGGTCATCAGGTTAGTTAAAGGCAAAGTTAGGTATCCTAAGTGCCAGGCCTATTGCTTATTTACACCCTCTAAGGCTACTCACTGTCTTGGGGATTGTGAGGAAGAGGTGCACACTGGCAAGTGGTGCTGTCTAGGAAATACTAGTGTAAATGTTGGATGGCTATACAGTCCTCTGTCCCCTCTCTGGGAGTGGCGAGCTCCAGGGAAAGATTTGGAATGCAGGAGCAATGGGTGGCTGTGTACAAATTCCCCTCCCCCACACCCTTAAGCACTTGGAAGTGAGTCCCCATCCTATGCAGGACCTTTTCTGCAACCTTCAGACTCTGCATTTTCCCATTATTTTGTGCTCCCGCATTACAAGTTAAGATGGAGAAAAGGGGTCTCATAAACACTTCAGTCTCTGCATCTGTAATCCTCCCCCCAACTAGTCAAGCCAGCTGTGCAGACTGTGAGGCAGCATGAGGGAACCTTCCCAACCAAAGCCATCCTAAGTAACAAAAGGAAGAAGGACCCCCTAGTCATTGGTCTGGACTGGCTCTTGACTGGGGGCAACAGCCCTGGTCCCCAGCCTCTACCCCTGGAGCCTACCCACAAGTCTAAGGAAGAGATGCTAGAAGCTGGGGACCCCCCAGAAGGGAGGGGGCAGCTCTCTTCCAGACGGCTCCACTCCCCTTCCTTGTCCCTGCTAATAGGTATTTCCTGTTTATGAGCTGCTAAGGCAGGGCTTTTGGGAAGGGATAGAGAGGGCCCCTGCCCCCCTTCTCAGGCCTGGGTTGGGGCGTCCTTGAGGAGTGCCAGAAGGTTGGGAGTCTCCTCTCGGAGGTCGTAGAGTTCCTTACAGTGACCATCCAGATCGTCTCCCACCTCTCATACCCCTTCCGCGCCCTCCCCGACCTGAGCCCTTATATGTAGTGGGCATTTAAGTGGTCTGCTTCCTGTTCTCCCCTTCTCCCCCTTTTCCCTGGTCTCCCGAAGCCCTCAAAGGAGAGGCTGGGTGGGTGGCGGGAGGGTCAGACTGGAGGAAAAAGGGGGAAGGGAGGAGTGAAGTGTCTTGACCGATGAGTCAGAGCCTGCAAGGGGGAAAGATGGCCTGCGGATACCCCCTCCCCAGTCCAAGCAGGCCCTCATTCCGCTGCTCCCTCCCCCCAGCAAAATGCAGATCCCAGACCCTTAGGCGATGGAGGGCGGGGACCCCACTTAATTAACCCTTTTAGCTCTAGTCCCAACAGGTTTAGCAGGCAAGGGGAGAGTGATTAATTTAGGGAGGGGTGAGTTAAGGGGTTCCACAAGAATTAGGATAGTACTTCTTTTCCCCACCCCAGTTGGGAAGGGAATCCATAACAAGGGGCTTCCTAAACCTGCGCCATCGGCAAAGAAAACAAGGTGAAGGGGGTCGGCGGTCCCTTTCTCTCCCGGAGCGCGGCCTGGGGTGGAGAGAGCTACACCTCACAACCCACCCTAGCTCCGCCTCCCCGAGTCCGGGCTCCCGCTCCAGCTAATCTACGCGGCTAACTCGGCGGCGCGGGGAGAACGGACCCCGAGCGTGCGGCTCGCCCTCCTCGCTTTCCCCCTCGCCCTCCCTCCGGGGTCTCTGCCTCCGTCTCCTTTTTTAAAAGCTGCGTCACACGCTGGCCTTCCCCTGATCGCCGCCGGCCCCTCGCCACCCGCCCGCCGCGCGGCGCACGCACGTCGCCGCTCGCGACGCGCTCGCCCGGGTCACTTTGACACGGCTCTCCCCTCCCACTAGCAGGCAATTAGCATATTAATAAAGCCCGGCCCAGCCCGGCAGGAGCTGGAGAGCGGGCGCCGCGGAGCCAGCGCGAGGAGCGGGAGAGCGGGGGAAGCAGGGGCGCGCGGCGGCGCTGGCGGCGGGGAGGGGGCGGGAGCGCACAGACACGCACACGCACACGCGCACACACGGACACCCACTCCGGGGACGCACACCCGTGCGCACACACGCAGAGGCAGCTCGCCTGCCTGCCTGGCTTCCTTCCTGTCTGCTCCGCGCCTGACAGGCCCCTTGCTGCAGCCAGGGGCCGCCCGCACCGGGCCGAGGCCGGGCCGGGCC